AATATAACTGAAAAGGAATTTATAAATAAACAGTAAAAGTAAGGCACTGAAAAGAAACGGTGTGACAAATAGGATCAGATAGTTGATGCTGCTGCCTTGCCTTCACAATAAAAGGTAACGTGACTAAAAGCACATAAAACATACGATTCGTTCGTACCATTATCAATAACGATCAGCTGCCAAGTTCCTTGTGGTTTTTCGCCCCAGCATCGAACAGTGGAAAACGTCCAGTCTACGAAACCATCCGAAGATCTACGTTAGAACAGATATTCAATGTCATAAAAAGTTACTTCTTTACCACGAGTTATGATCGGACACCTTACGGCCATTGCAACAACGATACACCGATGCCGGTATAGTCCTAGATTCCACTTAAAAGAAAAATGGTAAACTGGCATTGCAAGAAGATACTTATTGGCGCTGGTTCATGAGCTCCGTAATATTTTCGTTGAAAGTACGCGGGAGGTCTGTCTCATTTCTCGCGCCAGACCCCTCTAGATCACCAGGGAGCAAAGCGGGTCAGTTCGACTCAGGCTTCGCGTGTAGCCCGCGATATGCTTTTACAGCAGGACCATTAATGAGAGCTTGCTGTCGGGCTGATTCTGAACATACCTATCGTGTTGTCTTGCTGTTGCCAGTTTGGATGTCGTTCCTTCAGCGGACACTAAACTGACCATTAAGTTTCCACGATGCCGATGCTTGAGATTCACCTGGAAGCAAAGGTAGAGTAAGACAATTCTTGCCAGCTTAGAGACATAATTAAGAGACCTTTCTTTTCTCATATTTTCCCTATATCATTTGATGCTGAAAAGGATCTGTATGAGATCTGATGGTTTGTTTCAAGATATCTTCCGACACAGAATTAAAAAATTGTTCTTTCAAGGAAACTGGTCGATGAGAGGAATCAAAGTGACGCTATAGTGAACTCGAGGATATACTGTGCAGAATATAACTACAGTGTACAGTGATTGTACTAAATGCATATGATCCTGGAATTCCAAGAAACAGAATTGAGCCGTCATCCCCACTAAAGTCCTTCCCAGCTTAGCCTGCAGAACCGATGTAATTTTTTGCATTTCACAGGCGAACGGAGACAAGCGCTAGGCGAGCGCGAATCAAGATTCACGCGCATGAGGAGGAGCGCGAAAATCATTTTTTTTTTTTTGCGTTCTTCCCCTCACACGTGACTCACACTTCGCGCTCACCTTGCGCTTACCTCCATTCGACTGAAAAACGTCAAAAATTACGTCGGTTGTGAAGGCTATCCCCAGCTGATCCGCCATATTTAACAATCAGTCTGCCATCTTTAATAACAAGCACGCTCTTGCCAGATTCCTAATGCAGGGCTAACGACACGAAATTTGCAGATCGAATCCCAAAATTACTCATTCCCATGCTTCACACATCATCGAGTAAAAAAAGGGAAAATGAGCGAATTTTACTTACTGTGACGGTGACGTGTTCTAAAGTAACCACCTCTCCGACGTTGTCTTTAGACACTGGTAAAGAAAAGAAATAAAAGTGTTAGTTTTAGTTTACGCTAACATCGCAGGAAGCATAGCGAGAACCACTTGGATTGAGTTGTTTCTAGCGGCAGAGTTTCAACAATGTTTTACAAAAGAAACAATTTAACTGGTGTACATACCGTAGTACTTTTCTATCAGTTGATTGGTTGATGTCGGGATCTGTTTTCCAACATGAATAATGGGTGTTGACCAAGATGTCATCCAGGGCACTGCCTTCCATACCTGAAAAAAAAAATATTGCTTTGTTGAAAACAAAGCTCTGATAAACTTACTTTCAGTAAAACACAACCAGATGTATCACTTTATATATTTTACCGCGCTTGATTAGCTAACGTTGAAGAGCGCCGGACTTCCGTGCAGGAGGTCGAGGGTTCAAGTCCCAGACCGGACCAACACACACGGACTTAAAATAAGCGAGGAGAATGTGCTGCCTTTGCTTTTACATCGGCAAACAGTTAGACATTCTCGTCTTCACGGATAAGGACGATAAGTCGTAGACCCCGTCTCCTGTCTCTTCTCGCTACTGGCTAACAGGGAACATTAAAGAACCCACACACTTCTTACAAAGAGCACGGAACATAGCCCCCGGTGTTGTGGTCTGACCTTGTCATTGTTTATACAGACCCCCATTTAAACCAGCTCTGAGCGGAACTGGACCAGCCTGTCTAAATATCGCAAAACACAAATACAGATACAAATTTTTCAGATTTTAATCTTAATGAATCGCCTATCCTTGATGAGAGGGCTTGTCCTGTTGATAGTGAATAATGTACCTCCTGAATACCTTCCCGTGATTAACGAGCTCTACTTCATGGCACCGAAACACATTTCACTACCAACCCTTCATTCGACAGATCTACACTTTTACAATAAAGATAAATACGTGAATACCTTAGCTGTGTTGACCAGTCGCCAAGAGTCCAGAAGACCGAATCCATACTTGTGGCTATGGTGATACTTGGCTCCATTTGTATAATAATCACTGTCGTCCACATCGTGCTAAACACATGAATATAACCATTACAAAAAAAAACCAATTCGATAAAAGAGCTATAAGAGGCTAGCCTTTAAGTCTGCGACCCGACACTCAACCACTGTCCGGGAAAAAAGCCCTCCCTTCTTGGCCCGAAGGGATGTCGTTTTGGATGGCGAACCTCGTTGACGGCCATATAAACTTTTACCTTACAGTTGTACAAGACACTCACGACTCAGTAGAACGTTAACGCAACAGAAAACCAAGGGGCTTAGATTCGATAAACTAGGGGGACATTACACCCACTTCTCGCAAAGAGAAGTGTGAAGAAGATATAACATTCCCCCGCCGTTCCATTAAAAAGATTCTATTGAAAAATAGCGAGACTTGAATTCCTTATAAAGATTTTACGCGCTTCTCTTTCTAGAATTACTGGTGAGGATCAACTCGTCACAAAGGGGTTCGTTATACCGTCCACAAAATGGCAGTTTTCGGTGAGATAAATAATCAACCAAACATTAAAATTCCTTTATACCTTGACAGCAGTAATGGCAATAATATGTTGGACATCTCTCCATGACAAACATGGTCTACAAAAAGAACAATCCTGGTCAATGATTCGATTATTTCAAACAGCAGAATTCCGATCAAAACCTCACCTAATTCTACACAAAAATCTCAATCGCGTGATAAACGTCCCAGTAAATACGCCCATCTACAAGTGAACTTAGCCCCCTCCGAAAATATTTATTTTCTTTCTTTTGAATTCACCTTACAATCCTCCTCGTCCCCTCCCCTCTCCCCCTGCAATGTAAGCCTCTCAAAGCCCCTATTGAGACAGCATAGGTTCAGGGCTTCTATCGAAAGTTTTTTGAGCAGTATCATGGGGGTATTTGCTGTTTGTTGTTCTTACCTTGCTTGTAACATGAGGGCGATCATTCCAGCCGCTAAGGGCGCCGCAGCCGAGGTTCCCGTATGTTTGTCTGTGCAACCCGTGCCAGTCCCTAAGCGCCAATCAGTTGTCACCTAGCAAGGCAGCATCAAATATATAGTCACCAAAGGGAATAACTACTGCGCGACACTACCCGCGGGAATCCCGAAGACACGGGCAAAACAACAAGCATAAAACGTTTTTTTTTTTTCATTGAAAAGAACTTCAACAAATCGCATTTCGCAAAAGTGGCCATAAGATGAAGCTCAAATACCCTACAGTAGGTAGAAATGTACCTCCGGCCTGGGTAGCAATCTGCATTGTTTTGTTTTGTTTTTTTTGTTTTTTTTGGAAGGGGGGAAGGGAGGGATACCAGAGTTTGCAATCACGTTCTGAAGGAAAGAACAGTTTATAGGCTTTGCATACACGCCATACATGTGGCTTGCACAGCAGCCTGTTGAGTCATACGGGAATCTTGCGAAAAGTATCCTTATCCCTTTGCCCCAGTACAACAGCATAATAACACCACTTTGTTGTAGACAGGGTTTGCATACGTATCTAAACACTTACTATGTTCCTCTGCATGCCTTGTCCACTGCTGTAAGTGACTGCCAACATAGCAGCACAATGTTCTGCATAATATGGCATATCTCCTAACTCGTCCACAGCACCTACAATTAAATCATTGACAAAATTTTTAATAATGAGACAACTGCGCAATTGGTCATGATTTGCTGTGCCACATTGACGACGCGTAGTTAGGGTAATCTTCTCCTCTTTGTTCCACGCTCTTCGCAAGACAAAAAGACTTTTCTTTTTTAATGAAGAAGGCTATTCTTTGAGACTATGAGCTCTCCCAATTTACCAGCTTCACGATAAGCTGTCCCCATTTAGCAGCTTTGCAGGTGAAAGTGAGTCAATGTTTTCAAAAGCCTCCGTTTCCACTTGTCCACACGAGAGACGGAGCCTATTAAAAACGAAGCGTTTTCAAAATGTTCAAATTTCGAAACCGTTCACGAAAGGCTCCGCGTTTCTGGGCGCTTTAGTGTGAAAGATAGTCAGACAAAGATACATAAAAATTATGTGGATAGAGCTTCATCTGTGCACCAACCTATTGTAACAGTGTAAATGGAGTTGGCATATCCATCAAAGTTACAGTTGTCTTTGAAATGTCCTCCGTTGCCAGATGCCACAACAAAAATACTGCCGTAACCTTTCCTACCAGCTAAAACACCATGAGCGAGAGCAGCCTATGAGGAAAACAAAAACAAAACGTAATTACTCAATATGGTATGTGTTATCATAATGATAATTATAGAGCAATAGGAATAAGGGATATGTAAAGCATGAGATATGTAAAGCATGAGATGGAAAAGGACTTGACTTACTAGGGAAAGATATTTTTTCCGAAGAGCACGGGAGTACGAACTTCATATATTTTTATTATTTCTCAATTATACTTAAGCACATTGGTTTACATACCTGTGCCAATTGATGAGGTCCATCAACAGTTTTTCCATTATCATCAGGCCCCCAACTGCGAATAAATTAATTTCAGTAACTTGATAGGTGCTTAAAGAAACGATATAAACTGGACATAAAGAGGAACATTTCCAGCCAGCACTTTGCCTGTCTAACACTTGGGGATTGTAAGTGCATTTTTCTCTCCTCTTACGAAAAGCTTATAGAGTTTAAAATCTTTGTTTTTAGTTATTTTTCCACATACCTGCAGCTATATATGTCATTAATGTGCATCTTACTGTTGAATGCCATAGCCTCAAGGCTGTCCGTCATTGGACCGTCAAGAATTCGTACACCTACCATTGGTCAAGAAATTCATCAGATTTGTCAGAAAGAACTAAATTTGGTGATGAAGTGAATTTGTGGAGAGCTCAATTTACTCTCAGATTACCACCCTCTTACCAGCTGTCTTTTAGCAAAACTGATTATTCAACATGGAAAGGAAAGAACAAAAACTTATCTTGTAAGACTTATTTGGCAATAAAGCCATCAAATTGTTTTGTAGTGTGCTACTTACAAGCTACAAAAGACTGCTATTTATTTACTATTTAGACAAAACGGAATAACTCAGTTCCAAGGCTGAATTGCTCACCCATGCTTTTTCCAGACCAAAGTTATCCTTACTCAAACATTTGAACTTTTTGTTAACAGACTGACTAACTGAAAAATTGTAGTTTCAATCCATATCACTTAAATCTAATTAGGGCTAATTCACCAAAGGAATCCCACTCAATTTCTCTCTGAATCATTTGCTAAATCCCAATATTCAATCTGTGTTCTTCTTACTGAGAAACAGAGAAAGAAAATGATCATGCAATCCTAGCAGAGTCTTAAAAGTCTATTCACAGTTTCAAAATTAACTCATTAGAATGTGAGGTCTTGAAAAAAAGGACCATTATGTGCATTAGATTGTAATAATAACCAGTAAAAATGAGCCAAAAAAATTTTAAATGGGTGAAAAAGACAGACAAGAAGCCCTCCAGAAAACAAAAAGAATTCAAGCAGAGGCTGATTGATTGTCAGTGGTACAGGGTATTCTGATTTCATTGTAATTGACTCTAAATTTTTTAACTAGATCATCAAGTGATCTTCTAGTTATTACCTGATACTTTTGCCCCATAAGCAACACCTACAGCACAGTATGTGTTTGGCACAGCAGCAATCTCACCAGCACACCTGCCACAAAAGTTAGGAATTTTGAACTTTATATTTGATGGGTGGATAGATAAATTTTAGTATGATAGCACCTTGCCTTGACTTAAGCTGCAAAAGACAAGATGTAAGATGATTCCAAACCTTTATTTTATCTCTAAATTATCAACCAGTATCATATCAATACATTTTAAATTATTACATATTTACACGTTATTATTTGTGGAAAAACTCTCACCCATCTAAAAGCCTTGCTAACCCACTTTAATTATAAGGGTAACTAGCTGTAATACATGGTTCATTCTCATGAAAACTGTCTTGAACAAAATCAAGGTACAGTGAACTCAATGGGTGCTATTAACCCTTTCCACCCTAACATCAGTAAACATAATTCTCCACAAAAGCCTCACTAACCCTCTTTAATTATAAGGGTAACTGGCTGTAATACGTGGTTCATTCTCATGAAAACTGTGTTGAACAACATCAAGGTACAGTGAACTCAATGGGTGCTATTAACCCTTTCCACCTTAACATCAGTAAACATAATTCTCCACAAAAGCCTCACTAACCCTCTTTAATTATAAGGGTAACTGGCTGTAATACATGGTTCATTCTCATGAAAACTGCCTTGAACAACATCAAGGTACAGTGAACTCAATGGGTGCTATTAACCCTTTCCACCCTAACATCAGTAAACATAATTCTCCACAAAAGCCTCACTAACCCTCTTTAATTATAAGGGTAACTGGCTGTAATACGTGATTCATTCTCATGAAAACTGTCTTGAACAACATCAAGGTACATTGAACTCAGTGGGTGCTATTAACCCTTTCCACCCTAACATCAGTACATGTAATTATCCACACAGTTCCCTATACATTCCCTAAGGGGCTGATGAGGAGAATTTGTTTCATAATCCAGAACTTCTCTTGTTGGTGACCATTTCCTTTATTCTCATTAACTTATGTGTGATTTGGAGCTGATATTGTAAGGAGAAATTAGATGCTAGTCACTCTAAGCGGTTAAAGGGTTTAAGTGACTTAAGAGATCATGGGCCCAATCTACTCTAGGTCTGGACCAAACAACTGCAGTGTTCTCATCATTGTTTTGACTTAATAATCACCTACGGCTGTACACTGCATACCTGCTTGTCAAAACATTATTCTGTGACTATCAATTAATTAATTATAATTATTAAATAATGATTATTAACAAGAACTGAGATTGCTCTGTTTGATACTCAAGACTTTAAATTACTAAAGTAGGCTGCACTATTGTAACTGCTTTATTTATCTGTACTTCTAGCCAAAAGAAGTTTAATTTCCTATATTTAATTTGTTAATTTTTATTTTATGCATGTGTCAACTTATCAATGACAAGAATCATGGCAATATTTATTCTAGTCTACCTGGTTCCATGATGATTTAAGCCAGCCTCATCTGCTCTTGGCATTGGATCATCATCATTGGAGTTGATATCCCAGCTGCCTTCTGAACTCTGTATCAAGGTGTACAAGACAACTTTAACCACTTTTTAATTTAATTCTTATTCATAATTAAATTCTCTCAAAACTCATTTAGAAATAATTTGATTTATGACACATTTGGTGGAAACAAACTTTAATTAGCCTTAATTTTTGTTTTTATACATGATAGATCATGATGAAATGCTGGTGCAATCAAAACTATTTATCAACAACTTCTTAAAAATTAAATTTAAATTTGCACTCTGTGCATTTTCCCAATAAGAGTGAATATATGCATAATACAAGAGAAAACATTATTTTACAGTAAAAAGAGTATAGGCTACAGAAGCTTCTGAAGCCTAGAAATTTTTAGTTTACTCACAATTTGCAATTTATACATGATGAACTATGGTTATCTTAAAGGCATTAAGTTTAACATTCAGGTCACTGAACACCATGGTATTTTTTAAGAGATTGGTTGAAAGCAATATTATTTGGTAAAATACATATATTGATGTTAAGAAGAAGGACATTCCAGATCTTAACAACCTTGTAAATAAGAATTAAAGAGTTGTGTGTTGTTAAAAGACTGATTCCGATGAGTGTGGAATATCTAGTTATATCAACAACAGAGAATTCACACATAAAGGAATTGAGAGCCTCAGGGTATATAAGCATCTTCAATACTCACATAATTGTCAAGAATATCAGGATTGGTCCATTCCACACCTTAAAAACAAGTGGATAACACCAAATGAATAGTAACAATAAACTGTATGTAGTGTAAAGTTGAATATTTTCAATTTTGTAAATCACCACAAATACTCCCCCAAAGTATTTCCAATCATGATTACTCACCATCGTCAATAACAGATACAACTATTCCACGTCCTGTGATATTATTTTCCCAGACACCAGTAACATTGATATCATGTCCTATGAATCGTAAATTGTCCTGCCATAAAAAAGTCAGATATGTTAAAATTAAAGTTTATATTACTACTATGTCAAACTGTGCAAGGTAGATAAAGGAAATAATGGATCTCAGAAAATTTTCATTTTATCTCAAAAATTCAAAAGTCTATGCACTATGTCTGAATTTGGAGTATTTAAGTAATTTCTAATGTTTCTTTATACTCAAGCTCATATTGACTGTGTAAAGCAAACTTTCATAGCAAACTTTCATACATGTATCACTACTTTGGAGGAGCCTAATTTTGGTGAGTAATTTTGACCAAGCAGAGTGGCCATGGTCAATATAGCATGTATTGCATTTTATCAATTTGGGTCTGTAGTGACAGTTATTGGTATAGAGAAATATCGTAAAGGCGTTTCTATACTTAGCTGCTCATTATCCAAGACACCCTTTCAATAAATAACAAAGTTCAATATTGAGATAAGTCCTTGACCTTTAATTTGAAAGTAGCTAAATCTAATGAACACTCGACGGACAAAAGAAAAATTTCTACTTTCAGAGAAAACCTGCATCAAGTTAACCCTATCATAAGGCATTAAGATAACGACTATCAAAAAGATGTTAGTTTAACCTTTCAAATATATTGTTTTTAGAAAGCTTCTTGCGATAATCTAAAATCTATTTCGAATAAATTATTAATTAGGTCTAATCGACTCTTACCAAGTGCCATTGGCTTGGAAAATACTGATCCTTAAATTGTAGGCTTCGCTTATAACGCATTCGAACTACTTCTTGTCTTGACCATTCAATACTTGGATGTTTGGCTAAAAGTTCCGTAATGCTATTCTGCATTTTTCCAAGAACGTGTTCTTTGATTCCGCTTTGATTGAAGAAAGTATTATTATGTATGTACAGGTAATGTCCTTTGAGACCTCCAATTTGCCCGCGATTTACGAGGCCTGCCTCGTCCGCGATGCGGTCTGCTAGCGCATGGAGATCAGGTAAATTAGAAAAATGAACCAGTGGTATTCGAATGGCCCACGATGAAGAATAATCCATTGAGTTTGTCGTTCTGTTGTGTACGATTCCATTATTGCTATAACATCCACAAATCAATAGAACAAAAACACGCCAATAAAAAGCCATAAATAGCCGCCATCCTAGCAGCTTAATGGGCATAACAAGTAACTAAGAGGCTACATGAAACATTCGCCAGCATTTCAACCAAGACCACGAAGACAGGAAAGGAGAAATCTAGAGAAATTGTGGCGATTCCCCTTTCCTTTTTCCGCCATTAATGTGTCTGCAGGTAACCAAGCCTGCCTTTGTGTGAAGATAACCGGAAGTCATTTGAAACATTTCAAAACATCTACCCCCGCACAGACTCTTGGGAGAAAGACTGCAGTTCCAGTCTCACTCGTGTCAAGCCAATATGGCGGATGCTTAAGTAAAGAAGAAATGAGACAACTTTTTCGCCGATTTTCATCATATATTGCCATGAGTGCCTATGAAGTCAAACACAATGTGAAGGGTCAGGAATTTTACATTGCTTTAGAGAAAGGTTTGTGAATCCCTAGGAAGTGTATACCCTACTCTCTTGGTATTTGTGCCTTTTGCCTAAACATGCAGGCCGTCCTACTAAAGCTTAATTTCCTTATATCTGTCAAAAATAAATATGAATAAATAAATAAATGAAGAAAGAGAGAGATACATATGACCACAAGTTTATCTAACCCATGATATGTTGCCTAAAACATTCATCATTAGCCAAAATTTCAACCCCTAAGCTGTAGGCCCATCCTGGGGTGATTTGTTCTTGTATACAGAACCTCACCCCCGCCCCAGCCTTTATCGCACCCCATGATTACGGACTTGGTTGCGACGTGAACATGTCGCGCCAAAAATCTGAAGTGTAGGTTTTGAAATGTTTGTAATTTTTGTCAGGAATACTTGGCGTATTGAACCATTTCTTTGGCTTATGCATAAGATGCACCCGCGTGCATGGAGCAGAAAAATTGTGGAAAATTCCCAACTCCTTATTGAATTAAAGAACAGTCCACACAGTTTTGTCGGAAAGGCCCTTGAAAGACTATTGGTGAAAATTGATTTTTACCCTTTACTATTAATGGCACAGGTGTTAAAAAACTGTCTTCAGTCTTAACAAAAATAGCGAGACATCGTCAAGGAAAATGTCGCCACATATCGTAAATGCCCCTGGGAGCAAAGGTTTTTGGCAAAGAACTGACATATTTCACATGGAATTGTTATAAATATCTGTCAATACCCTAGGTTTCCTTGAGGTTAGACCTAGGAGGAGCCCTGTGATGGAAAAATGCAATTCATTACAATTCATGTTCAAGAACCTCTCTTCCACCTTTACTATCTTTTACATGCACTTAGGTAAGGCTGTACTACAGTATGAAAATGAAGGAAATAATACCATGAATATGTACCACACAATGGTACCATCTGAGTACAGAGGAAAAGGCATTGCTGGGCACCTTGCCAAGGTCAGTGGTTGCTAATTAATAAGCGGAAATTTATTTTTAAGTTACCAGTTCAAATAAGACTTCTAGAATCTGGAACAGGTTCGACTTGAACCTCAGGACTGGCAAGGGTTGAAGTCTGCTCACAAGTAAAGTGGTTCCCCCTCTCCTCTCACTAGCACTTAATCTGGTTTCCATGGCATGAAGGGGCACAGCAAGAGTTAACCCTTTAACTCCCATGAGTGACCAAGACAGAATTTCTCCTTACTATATCTAAACAATATCATGCAGGCAAGTGATGAGATTAAAAGGAAAATATCAATTATGAGATTACTAATTGATTCAATACCAAATTCTCCAAACTAACATGATGAGAATCGTTTGGTAGACAGTAAGGAGAATTACCAATGAGATCTTGGGAGTTAAAGGGTTAAGGGTCTTGCCTGTGAACACATTTTGATATGGGTCCTGGTCATGGCTGTAGTCTAGTACAGTGGTTGCTAACACCCCCTGCATCTTTCATTAACGAACAGACTTGATGTTTTGCCTTTGCTTTCTTCTTTTGAATTTGCATTTGACTGGTCTTGAAGAGTAAGGTAGCCCATGTTTAAGCATTTACATTTAAAAGTCAAACAGCTTCTTCTAGCCTTATACTGGTAATTATTGATTCCACTCAGCTGAGTTCCTGGTCTCCTTCCCAGCTCTTCTCAAGAGTGTCCCACAGCAGTATGTGACATCCTAAAGAATAGCTACAAAGGAGACCACTTAGGCCAACAAATTGCATAGTTTTAAACCTTCAATTTCAGTTTGAAGGCATGTCACATTGATTATATTTTACATGCAACTTTGAAATAGGATTTACTTTTATTTCTTTTTCTATTTTCCATTAGGCAGCATTTGATTATGCAGTGGGTGAAGATTTCAAGATGAGGCTAACATGCACATATTTGCAGAAATATGTAAAAGACAACCCGTTACCTGAGTATACATCGCGTGTTGTTTGATAGATTCAACATTTGACTCAGAGGGAATAACGATGAAGTAACATGTATGCTATAATGGTAATTGATCCATCTAAGACTGCAAAGTGTAATTTCTATCAGAACATGGCTGTTGAACTCACTAAGATAGTAAAAACTACTGGCCATTTTAACAATTTTTAAAGAAAATTTTATCAAGAATTTCTACATTTTAATGAACCAAACATGCATTCATGCAACTGTCCTATTTATTTCAAAATTCAGCTCAAAGTGTCCTAGCTGTCAGATACAATGTTTTTTATCTTAATTAAAGCCATAGACACTCTTGTAGTGAATCAATTGTCAATAAAACTGATTTAAATATCATGTTCATGTTGTGTGTTGATTGTGTACAATATGAATACTCTTGCAAATTCCCATCTCTTTTTCTTAAATTATACATTGTTGTTACAAGTAATATGGTTTTACTAATAGAGAATTCATAATTACTATCATTATTATTATTCTCAAAATAAGAACTCTTTTGGTACAATATATTTTTGACTCAAACTGATAAGCTTTAACATTCAGTACACATAGAGACCATAATTCAAATGGAAACAACTGAATGTAAATCTCAAAGTACTGCATAAGAAAACAGGGCTATGAAAGAAAACCAACAAGTAGACATGTGCCATTCTTCATTAAGCATGTGGAAATCTGGCTATGCCATTTCCATAAATTGTTATACCTATGTCTAAAAGGACAACTGAGATATTAAGTGGTTCTCAATGATCAAGAAGTGTTTTAGATGAAAGTATGAAATTATATGGTGACATTTTCAGTTGGAACTGAAAGGAACTTTTTGTGTGGTAACACAGGCTGATATCCAATCACTTGAGAGGAAGAGGAGGAGGTAGTCTTTATCTTCCCGAGTGTTTGGATGGGGCCACTAAGCACCTAAAAAAAAATTCCTCTATTTTTTTAAGTAACCCCTTCTCACACACATGCCCAATAGCATAAAACCTTGAGTTGCTGTACTTCCTAATTCTTCAACAATAATGAAAATTACAGTATCTTCCATTAATATTGTATCTACGAGACATCCTTTACTTTAACATATGTTCATAAAACATGTTACCAACCTTTATATCAACAAAGTAAATTGAAATGACATATCCTTTAAACACCTTCTTTGCTCTTGCTGTTGTCTTCTTTTTTTCAGTTTTTGATACTTACCGTAGTTATTCGGTTATAGGGCGCACCGTTTTTTTCAAGAAATTCCTAATTTCTACTAAAAATTACCGCCAAAGTTTGGGTGCGTCTTATAGGCGAATATTTTCCCGAAACAATTTTTTTTTATCACAGTTACTGGTACGATTTCAAGAAAACAAAAGGACACAGTGTTGGTCATTGACTTTTATAAATATGGTGGTTCTGAAAAGACGAGCGAAGTCAAATTTGCATAGATATGATACGTTGTCGAGAGCACGTTCTCAGTAATTTTTTTGTTTGTGTGCGTGGTCGCGTGTGCAACAATTCTGCTTTTGTTAATTAACGGTAAACTAAAATCAATACGCGACTTTTTGGCTTTTTTGTAAGTTTATGAAAGAATTGACAATAAACTTGACCTATCTTTACTCCCCAAACAACGGTGCGCCTTATAATCAAGTATTTTAGCGATATTTTCAGTTTGAAAACATGCAGTAATGAAGTTGCCGAATTGGGGGTGCGTCCTATAGCCGAGTGCGCCTTATAACTGAATAACTACGGTAATACTGTACAATAAGTCTGATTATGTAATTACAAGCTGTCAGAACTGCCTCAGTAGTAACCCATCCTTGATGTAATTCTTATTAAAACAAATTCCTGCCTATATATTTGTACTAATTATTATCTTAAATGTTATGAGAGGTACTTAAATATAGAATAAATCTGAGAAAGAATCCAATGAAATGTGATATGAATTTCTGGCAAGAAATCCTAAACACATGCTTTTTACAATCAAAAACGTTAATTTCCTGCTCCAGAAGCATAATAAAAGTTAAAAATTGCTTTTTAATTTTTTTTCCACTAGATTTAGATGTTTCACTACAAATAACTACAAACCTCTTCAATTTAAACAAATAATACACTTGATACCTTAGTTATAGTGGGGGTGCACTTTAATCAGCCAAAAATAAAAACTAGAATGCAGAGACATTATCAGTAATGGCTGGTTAACATTGCTTTGGTGCCTCTGATAGAATCTTGCTCTAACTACCATCTCTTGGGATTATATATCATGCATGACCCCTTTTGAGTTGACAACTACCTTGGAAAAAACTACACTTGAATTTGCAGGGGTGGAGGGGAGGGGGGTTTAGCAATTAATGCAGTAAAGGAGATAACCCTTAGATTGCCATTAAATAATCCCAACCAGTTGCCATGGTCAAAGTGGAATGTGAATTGGAAAGCTCCAGACTGTTTATAATAAATCTGAAGAGGCGACTTATCAGCCATGTTGCCTCCATGCAAGAGAAAAAGAGGAAAAACTAAAGACCAAGAAAAAAAAAACAGGACAAGCTGAGTGTGACCAGAGAAGGCACGATGACTGCATCACTGCCAAAGTAGATGGACTCGCAGATTATTTGGTGCAACCACAGTTGGCCATTTTTTTTTTGTGTTGTGGGTAATCACATGATTGCAGTCTTATCCCAGCATCTATTTTATCCCAACCGTCCTCATCACCATTTATTACCTACAGTTTTCAGAGAAACAAAGTTGTTGTTCATTGTAACATGATTATAGACACAGAGCTTACTTTAACACTTAATGAAAAATGGTAGTAAGAACTCAAGAAAATGCTTTTGGTGAATTTTTAATCTTACCATAACTGGGTCATTTGCATACTTGACGTTTTTAGCAAGTTCTTGGAAAACCTATCAAAAGAAAAGAGTGATACATAACAAGTAAACATTAAATATTAAATACAAAACTAGACACAGAGTATAAGTAGGATACATTGTCATCACCTACATGCTTGGACAATTGTAAAATTATCAGAAAAAATGATTAATTTAAGACAGATCTGTCATTGATTACTGTACAGTATTGACTGAAAATGTGCAGACAAAGCAAACTTGACAAGAATACTACTCATAACTCTCCAGTAGAAAAAAAAAACAAATGTAGCCTTGCTGTGAAATAAAACATAACGGATTGGTGATAAGGAAGAAATAAAATTAACTGCTTTAGTTCACCTCTTGGACATTCTTTTGTGTTTTTGCACTTGTTTCAAAGAACTTCAACCCAAACTGTCTTGCAAGCTGTTCACAAAAAAAATTGCAATTTATATCACTTGCTTCAGGAAAGGCTCAATTTACCCCATTATCTTGAGTGTGGTCATTGTTCCAAACATTTCTTTGAGGAGGAAGTACCAACTCATTTCCTAAACAATGGCTGGTTATTGAACTTATCTTCAGGATGCCATGGAAATTTTTTATTATCACACATGTAGAAACTTTACCATAAAGGATGTGCAGTTTTTGAATGATTTGGGTGGTACTTGAGGTGACCCTGATTATTGCCAAAGCCTTGGGTTCTACACCACTTGTATCCTGCTTAATTCTCTTGATATTTTGCATACTCTGCACATGTATTTCAACACATACACAGCACGACTAATGTTAGATAAGATGTTGTTTCTGTGATTGTTTTTCTCCAGAGGACTATGTCCTTCTTCCTTTTGCTGATATTACTGAAGCAGAATGCTATCTTCTACCTTTCATACATCCACTCTGAATACCCATCTGCCAATCTGACTACAAAGACTTGCATATAGAGTACACCTGGGTAAGTTGGAACTTTTGTGTAAAGTAGCTGTATAGTATTTTCAAAATTGGCCAATCAAAAAATTAAAAACAAAAAAACAATGTTGTTTGACCTCCTTTCCAGTTTGAGTGTCCACTTCCCAGCTTTTTCTGTCATAATCACACTTGTTCCCCACAAGTATTACTTCTTCATACATCAGGTTATGCTAAAAACAAACATTTACAATTCATGTAAAATGTAACTTATAGCAATTTGGAAACACATCATTTCTGCCTGTTAAGCGTGTTAGATAGTGCGGTTCGGCCCATGTTAGACCATATCCTTTCATTCTTGTACAATTAAAAAATATACATGTATAGGTATGTAAAAAATGTGCATAATCTAGATAAATTTCTATGAAATGAGTAGAACATTCTCTTCTAATTCTATACATTTCCTTGTAAATTGGTGCTTATCAAGTTATTATATTGTCATTTATATTATGATATAACACTTTCAACCTGATATAATCTTAATTGTTACTCTTCTCGTCACATTCTTTTTAAGATAATCATGAATGCAGTAAGTTATTACTTAATCAGTTCTGAGAATTAAAGGGTTTAACTACATCAAAATAATCATGTGCTAGTAATTTTCTGTGCTTTTAAATCAAGGATCAAAAATACAGTTAATTAAAATCTTAAGACCAAATTAACATTCTATACAGCATCAGTCTGATACAATTACAAAATCATACATACCTTATTCATTGTCTTTATCCAGTACTGAAGTTGATCAAATGAATGAGCATTTGTAATGTCATAAACTAACAATATACCCTGTAAATTTTGAAAAAACAAAACGTATGCAATCATACATTAACCAGGTACATGATGTAAAATGTTCACATGTTAACATCACAACTTAATCAGTGACATGTCTTCACTCAAACCATAAGAGCTCAGGACATCACCAACTAAAATTGCCTCACTTTCTGGCAAAAAAGAATATGGAATTTCATTTTCATCACAACTTATCATTTTATTAAGATCAACACCTTTAGAATCATATTGAATTTGTGCAGTGTTCAAAACAGAAAATACCATTGCATAGAAGCATTCATGAAACCCTAATTCGCTATTATCTTTGCTGGAAAAATTTATGACCATTTGGTAAATTTCTCATTATAATTGGTAGTTTGGTTTACATTCTTGTCTTTCATGGCTGTTAACACATTTTCACAATGAAAATATGTGAACAGTGGGCAATCAATTTTCTGTCTCTGTCAACTCTTGCACATTCAATCATGCAGGGTACAATATGAAAAAAAAAACTGTCTCAAATGTGATTAGAACAAGCAAATTTGGATAAAATGTGATGATGATATACAGACCTCACTATAGTCTATATATACCACCTCACTAGTCACAATTCTCCCCAAGCATTGCAAAAGCCTCTGTTAGAAAGCACTCAACTCACCTTTGTACCCCTAAAGTGCATGGAAGTCAGAGTTCTAAATCTTTCTTGACCCGCTGTATCCCTGATGGACAACAATTAATATTCACACAAAGAAGGAGTAATGAATATTCACTTAATTCTATTTTTTCTTCTCTTTTTCTTTTCTCTCATATATAAGTAAATCAATCTATTGCCATCACAATGGAAATGTTTGCAAAACCTTAGTGATTAACATTTAATCACCAGCCCAACAACAAATTATACCATCCTTAAATTCAAAACAACAAGTGAGGTTTACAAACCAAATCTGCAAGCGAACACGGACTCCATCCACATTCGTAACCACTGTTACAAAATCAATTCCTATTGAAAAATAATAATAAATTATTTATTGCAGTTATGTATTAATTTGAATTTTTAAATAGCATTACTCTGTTCAACACACTTGTTATAAAACCAAGTCATTATTTCACAATACTTTCATAAAAACTAAACTTAAGAAGTTAAATCCAACTCACTCAAGCCATCTATACCCCTTACAAATAAAAGCTTATTACAAAGACCTTCTAACGCACACACCAAACTTGTTATGACATGTATTAATTACAGACTGAAATAGATGAACTCAGAACCAACTCACCAATTGTTGGTAGAAGAGCTGCCCTGAAAGATTCGTTTGGTTTAGAATAGCATTTTATCAATGATGTTTTCCCAACAGCTGACTCCCCAATGATTAAAATTTTGTAAGTAACATCGTAATCTTTTTCCCGTAATGACATAATTCATGTTACATCTACGGCTGCAAAATCCTTCATGTCTTATTAAACAGGTATTCAGCACAAACTGAGAATCTCTCTTTGGAGCATGATCTATGAAAAAAAAATACATCCACTTTATCAGCAAAACTGTCTTCCCTTTATAAATACTATCTCACCTTTCCCTTTGTCTAATATTGGAATGATCACTTAAACTTCTCCTTTAAAAATCACTAAATTGGTTAAGAAAGTGAAAACAAAACAACAGTTATTGTACAATGTAGCACTGAACACAAATTGATTTTGCTAGACAGTTAATGAAGACAACTTTCTCAAATTCTTTTTCAAAAAGTGATGAAGAAAAGATGGAATTGTCATCCAAAATTAAATGAAATAAATGATATTTTTACCAATGGATGAAAAACCAGTAGGTAAATGATCCTTTCATGTGACTGCACTTCAGGAAATTGCAGAAACAAAACCTGAAAAAAAATAAGGTTCTGATATTATTCAACCTCATGCCTCCAAGAGAGTACTTGGGGATTACTACCACCTAGCTACATAGCCACAAGCTAGGAGCCAAGCAAATCTGAGTTGGTTTTTCTCTTCCACCAAGAATATGATCACAATTCAATGAAATAAATCACAATTAACCAACTAAAATTTGCCTTACTTCCCAATTAATTTCCTGAGGTTTATGAAATAATTATCTCATACATTCTGATATTAACCTCGAGTGGAACAAAGACCAGTGCAGGAAATCGTTAATATCACGTACTTATCTTTCAGTCTTGCACATCACGTGAGTTAAGTCACTCGTCAATCTCGTGATTTACCAATGTATCAATATACCATATGCACGGATCACAAGGTGAGCATAATTCAGATACGTTTAAGCAATATTGCATTACAGTCTAGTCAAACATGAGTATTATGCATATTGATTTTGATGATCGATTGGATGCAAAGCGACCGAATGAAGTCACGCGCTAATCGCAGCATAGCTTTATCAAGGAATGAAACCAGTCTATGCACAGTGTGACATTCCAATACCAGGAAAATAGAAAACTACAGAAGTAATTAACATAGCAGACCGAACGTGTGGAACATTATGGGAACTTCCGGATTTTCCAAGAGAAACTATCGAATATCTCCCAGTATTATTCCTGCTATAATTCGATTCTAATAAGATTCTGGAAGGTTATGGCTACTTCATGGAATAAATCTATCATCAAATCTTACTTATTAAGCAGAAATAAATGAAAGAGGAGTTAAGATTTGCAAAATGATCAATTAAAGGGATATTTCCCTCTATCGCCTCACCTTGAACAGTAACTGCGAGAGTCCAATATCCCAGAATCCATCGTGAAATGCTAGTTCCAGTGTCTCGCAAGTAAGCAGTAATCACGATCAAAACCAACGAAAGACTTGTCAGAAACGCGTGTACAACTGCTGAAGATGCCCGCAAAAACTACAGTGAAACACAAAATTGCATTGGTTGGAGATAGTGGGGTTGGAAAGTCCAAGATTTTGTCATCCTATCTAGGAGAACGCTTCAATCCCCTCTATGTACAAACTCGAGGTGAGATGCATTGAATGCTGATTGAGTTTTCGTCGCAGTAGTGTTCTTGTCTGCCCAGATTACAATATTCATGAAAATGCCAGTTTTGTCAGTGATGGTTGTAAAAATGCTGAAAATTCCTTTTTACTCCCGCAGAAAGAGAAACAAAGAATACTGTTGTAAACGTTGGGAGAAGGGTTGTAGAACTTCAAATATGGTAAGAGTTCAATTCTATTTTCATGAATTTACGGAAGTCGGATTTTTTAAACGTTGCGTGTTCACCTTTCTCTCTCCAAAATTGCGGTGCAAAATCAGAACCACCTTTTACCTAGCGTCATATTTAAGTTATACTAGCGCCACAATGAGCATCTATGATCATTACAAATTTTTTGAGGTAGCCAGATGTCGCATCTGTAGGAAAAAAGGAACTTAATTTCAAAAGCGTAAAACTGTACAAATTTTACGTATTTTTTCAACGTTTACGTCTACA